ACACACACACACACACACACTCAAACAAAAGTAGCAGGACCATTGGGAAAGATAATTAGCCGAACCATTCTACATCTATCCATGCAGTTTTAGTTTATTTTGCTTAATTGGGTCTACATAAGAGATAAGATAGAGCAGTATATTCTTCGTGACGTAGCATTGGTTAATGTGAGACTTTCACAAGAATGAATTCCTGCTCTGATGATGTCCAGCATATGATGGAGGCAAACTCAGCCAATTTTAGATCGAAACGAGGTAGGAGGTATCTCGGACTTTGTCAACTTGAATATCATATTAAAGCCAAACGGCTAGTCGTATGCTCCGAATAATCATAGATTTTAAAACTACAACCTTTGTTTTACTATGATTGGAGAAGAAGTTAGGTATAAAGCCAGAATACGTTGGCTTTATATTGACATCCCTACTTAAATTCTCACCTGCTCTGATCACTAAAACATCTAAAAGGGTAGATTATTGTTGAACTCCATCTCCATTGTCAACTTAACATTGAAGTCAATCTGGTTAATTGAAAACAAGAAATTATCTAAACTATCATTGCCATGATGTCATGTGGCAAAGTAGTCATCCATGCATCTAACTAACTGTTTGGATGTCAATCTTACCTCTTCCATGAAGTGTTCCTCCATTCTTGACATGCAATTATCAGTCAAAATGTGAACCAAACAAGATCCCATGGCTAGGCTTTGCACCTCTTCATTAACTATATCATTAAAAGAAAAGTATGTGCTGCTCATGGATAGATTAAGAAGCCTTATGATTGAGATTTTGCTCAGATTTGCTTCCCCAACCATTTCTGGGTGCTCGTCTAGGCTGAGTGTGAGTGCTTAAATAGCTTTCTGAACTGGGATGTTAGTATACATTCATACAACATCAAAACTAACCAAAAGATCCTCTTTAATACTCTTTTAATCTATTAATCTAGCAAATTCATTTGAATTCTTTACTGAATATTTCCAATACTCAGCCAATTTCCTTAGTTGTCTACATAAGAAACGTGAGACTCTATGCATCACAGTACCCTTATTATTAACAATCCATCTTAAAGGAACTCCTTCCTGGTGTATTTTTGGAAGGCCGCAAGCCGAAGGTGCCCTAGCATCCCTCTGAAGAAGTGAATTCATTTTCCACTTCTCCATTTCTCCTCTCCTTACACAAATGTTAAGCAATTCCTTAAGTCTGGTCTCAAGACGTTCTGTGGGATCCTTCAGTAAAAGTCTGTAAGCCTCTGAGTCATTTAAATGAACCATCATCTTTTGTATATAACTTAACCTATCCATGATGACCACTTTACCACCTTTATCTGCCTTTAAAACAAACCGATCATTTTGGTGCGAATATATAGAAACTTAATTTAAGTCGTTCGATTTATTTGGGATAATTATCTCATTAAAATGAGGAATCACGTCTCTTTCTATTCTATTCTTAGCATATTCTTATTCTATTCTAATTAACTCAACCAGTATCTTCATAATATGATTTCGCTCATTTGGAAAGGCAAAGTTTAGACACATTTCCAAGACGAGCGTAACATTGACATCTAAAGGTATACTGGATAAATTAATGACTTTATTTTTGCCAGAAAAATATTACTAAGTGTATTTGCCTCCTTATTGTTTCGACGATTCCTTGGGCTGACGTTGATGCCTAGATTCCTTAATTTCTTATCATGTCGAGATGTATGGATCTTATCCATTCTATCCGCCAAATCGTCCGCCATTTTCTGCAATTTTATAAAGTCTTCTTAAGAAAATAGCCGATAAAGAGATAGTCTAGTCCTTCGAATCTCTTCACCAAACATTTTCACTCGAAATGGAAGTAAGCTCAACAATTTAAAAAAGACTAGTTGAGTCGCCTCCTTTTCGTAGTCGGCTAAACACCCTCTATCCTTGCGCAAGTTGGCCTCACTGGAAGCTGTAGGGAAATTTCTTTGGGGCTCTGCAAAGAGCCTTCGTCCGTCATGGTGCAGACATAGAGCAGGACAGCATGCATTATGATAATTCTATAAGCACAAAGACAAGAAAGGTGGTCCAATTTTGTCCACTTAATGAATATTTTCATGATTTGGTCTAGGAAGTAGGTCGGTTTGAAGCCGTCCACCTTTCTTGTCTTTGCAAATGGAGAATTATCATAAAGCATGTTGCTCTGCTCCTCAAGGATTCATCGGGGTCGTATGGTCGTGCATCGAGGCCCCTTCACACCAATCTGCAGTCACGGCCCCAAGTCAATCCCCCTAGAGCTTCCGGTGAGGCCAACTCACGAATCCCTTGCACTCACCTCTTCAAACGGATCAAAAGATACTCCAAAATCTATTCGTTAAGCGTTGCTTGATGATTTTCTACAAGAGAGCTTCATTTGGGGCCATTTTTTTAATCATAACCGCAGGTTTTAGGTTCCCCGATCGCGTGGTGGCCTTCGCTTTGACTCGACTCGACGCCCCTCCCAGTACTGCAACTTCGGTGAATCAGGCAACCGGCGTAGGGCCTGGATCGTCCTCTACCGCCTCCGCCGCCGTGGCAACATCCGTCTCCACTTCCTTGTCGTCTTCCGGTCACCTCACCTCCGGTATGCCGGATTTGTCGGGGCTCGAGTTCGGTCCAACCGGCGGGCACGGTCGTCCGACAGTCGAGTCAACTCGTGCTCTCGCCATTGATCTTCTTCGCCATCTCATCACGACAGCTGATGCTGTGCTTGTCCGTCCCGTGGCAGCGGGCACTGGACCTTCTGGACCCGGGCCCGGGCTCTCCGGTACCTGCGCTGCCGGTTTCGGCTCGAGCACATGGTCCCGCAGACACCAGATCGTGGCCGGACTACGTCGTCTGCTGTTGCAGCCCTCGGCTTCCGGCCTCGCCAGTGACACAGCCTCGGAGTTCGATGTGGCCGCCTTCCTCGGGTCTATGACTTGTTCTCGTCCCACAGGCGACGGGTCGTCTGCCACGCCGACTGGCGCTCCGGCCTTGACACCGAGTCGCGCAAGCAGTCGACTCGCCGGAAGCACCGCGGCTGGGCTTCATCTGCCGCCTTGTGTTCGTCTGGGGCTGGCCAAGACGGTGCTACATTTGGGCAGCCGCGGCTACCTCAGCCTACCGGGCGCTGTATGCTTTGTCGAGTTCATTGTCAGACAATGTGGCTTCGCCTTCCAAGAAAAGGTAGCCTACTCAGCCTCATTCCATACATATACTATAAAGTATATATATAAAAGTATATAAAAGTATATATATAAATAAATATAAATATATACACTTTATAAATATAAATAAATAAATAAATACTAAAAAGTATATATATAAAAGTATATATAAAAAAAAGTATATAAAAGTATATATATATAAATATAAATATAAATATATACACTTTATATATATATATATACTTTTATATACGTTTA